CGTCCACCTGCCCTGGTGTCACCGGCGCGGAGATCCCGAGAGCGCGCGCGGCTTCCACAGGCGGACGGGGTCCCCGGGTCAGTCTGAGCTCTCTCCCGATCTGCTTTGATAGGGAGCATCCTGGAGAGGTGGGGGTGGAAGGCACCTCTGGAGGGCCCCAGCACTGCGCTTCGCGGCGCCGTGCCGCCTGTGGGTCGTGACCCCGATGTGCGTTGCCGGAGCATATGAAAGAAGATGCGAATATGCTTTTGTCAGACTTCAAAAATGGATTTTTCTTTCCAGGAGAAAAAAATAGGGAAATTGTGGGTTGCCCCTTGCAGGCTGGCAGAGCTGGGGCCTCCCCTGCCCCACTTGCACACACCACCTGCTCCGCACGCCTGGGGCTGGGGGTGGGGGGAGAGGGCAGCGGATCAGGTGCAAGGGGCACTGGGGTGCAGGACCGGACGCAGGTGTGGGTGAACGACGCAGCTGCCCCGGGGCCCACACAGAAAGGGGGCCCAAAAATGGTGGTGATGATGCTAACAATATCATCATCATCATCATCATCATTATTATCATTATCATCTAATAATGATAACAATATCATCTTATTCTCATTATCATCTAATAATAATGATAACAATATAATCTTATTATTATTCTCATTATCATCTAATAATGATGATGATGATGATGATAATAATACCATCACTATATCATCATGATTATAATAATCTAATAATAATATCATATTATTATCTATTAATAACAATATTCTCATTATATTATTATTATTATTATCATCATCATCTCCTGCAAAGGGGGGCCCGATGCTAAAAGTTCGCCCAGGGCCACCAGGAGTCTAGGTACGGTGCTGCTGGGTCAGGACTGGCCATCACTGTTTACAAATGGGTCCTGGTACAAAAAAGATTGAAAACTGTTGATCTAGTCCAACCCTCTGCCTGAGGCAGGATCATCCCTATCCAGCCATGTTTCTTTGGTTTAGCTTTTACCTTTTGCAATGATGATGAAAATAAGTGACACCTGCCCTGTTATGTCTAGTGCATGTTTACTGGAAGTAAAACTTGATAGAGAAGAGTGCCTTTGAAGAATTCTTCCTTTCTACAGGTCACTTCTTTCATGTCCAAGGCAGGCAAGGTTAGGTTATCTCTGTGTTGAACTTCAACATGCGCACTTCACTCCTCAAGTAACTGCCAAAAGGTGAAGTCTTAACTTCGTCTTTCAACTCACTTGTGTTAGACCTGGCTGGTGTTCTTAGACAGTGACATTAACAGCCTGTGACAGCAATAATGTGGCAGATAATATAAAAATGTTCTATGAGTATTCAAAGTTAAAACTGAATATACGTGGTTACAGTAGCTGTCTTCATAACCTTTATATTCCGTCTTGTACTACTTTTTAATAAGTTGCTAAGATAGCTAGAAGAATGGGATTTTCAAACCCCCCTGACCAGGAATTAAACTTTATACTGTAATCAAGATCCAGCAAACATTCTTCTGTAGCAAAGAACTCAAAGACCACATGTTATAGTGTTAAAAACATTTTGAAGTCCTATTGGGAAACTCTAGGTTTCTCTTATGAATCATGTTTGCACACCGAACTGTATTAATATTTTATAGCACCCTGCAGCACCCTGTTTGAAAATTGCTGGATTCTCTCTGCACATCCATGGCAACCTTTGAAGGATCTCTCTACACCCTGGTTGAGAATCACTGCTGTAAAATGCATCTTGGGCCCAAACCTACAAACACTTAAATACATGTGTAATTTCAAGCATATGAGTACCAGTGTTCTCATTTAAGTTGCGGGACTAGAGCTTTACTGATATGAAGCTTTGAATAATAATTTTCAACTTTTATGGTCTTATTACATTTCCTGTGTGCATCAAAAGCCCACTTTACATTCTGTGCTTTATTTCGAACATGTGCACAAGCACACAAAGCCATTTTGGAAAAATTGTCTGACATTACTGGAGGGCGCTCACTACACAGTCATGCAGAACTCAAATGGGTATAATTATATTGAAATCTACCTTTACCTCAACTAACTCTTGAAGTGGTAGCTGCATGAATCTAACAAATCCGCTATTGATAGGCATTTTGTTAAAAAAAAAATTAGCCGTTTGTGGACAGTCTTAACAGACGAACAAAAACAAAAGATAAATATGTGGTGTTGTGTATTTTTTTTTTTTTTTCTCCACCACCTTACCTGCTGGTGCCTGTTTTTCTGTTGAAAAATTAGTGAGGGAAATAGTTCCTGGCCTGTATCTGTCTAGCTGATGTAATATAGAATTAAAAGGAAAAAAACCCAAAATGTTGCCTAGTGAAGGGTTGATGTTGGTATTATTGTGGCTTATTCTCCAAAGGTGTTTTGAGAGAGAAAGTGAGTGGGAGAACAAGAGTCTAAACATGTGCCTCTGCCTGGTTTCAGGACGAAATAGTCAAATAAACAACACTAGAGCAGTTAGAGTGTGTTACCATTCTCTGTATTTTGAGATATATTATTCAAGTTGCTTGGTATCCCTCAGTAGAACCAAAACCCTAAAAACCTGAAAAATACAATGGAATAATAATTGTGGGGCCTAAGTTTGGTGGCTTAATAGTTACCATAACAAAAAAGACAACTTGATATCGATAACAGATTTTAAAGACTTGACTAGTCGCACTCTTCTGTGTTTTTTATATTCTCTATCTTCATTTCAGTGTGTATAGGACTTGACTTCATTGTTTGCTTAGCTATACATTTGTAACATGTTAATATACATTACAATGCATGGCCTGTTGTTGCTTAAATACAGTTTTTTGTCCTCAGTTCAGTGTCTTCCAGCACCAAATATTACTTGTAAGGATCACAGTGGCATAGAAAAAATCTTTACTGGAAAGGAAGTTGGATTTTACAAGCCTATTGAATGCCGTAATGTGTAAGTAAATGATTGTACTTTGCAATACGTTAGTCCCTGTTTCCATGCTTAGTTTTCTAAAATGGTACAGCATGTGTTGCCTGGGGAATGGGGAAATGAACGTATATTTAATACTGTAAGTCAGAAGAATTGCTCACCAGAAACACTATGTACAAATGTTACATTAACTAGCATGTTCTTACAACACTGTTGTATAGCTTAATGGTAAAAATATAAATCTTATGAGCAAAGCTGGTTTTGAGCTGCACATCTTGCATTCTGTCCTGATGGTGTATCTGAGTCTTTGGTTCTGGTAGTAGTTGCTGTGTGCCAGGAGACTGTCAGCAAAGGTCTGTTGACAAAAAATTGAGTGTTTCCCCACTCAAAACTCTTGTGTGGCAGCAGAACCCCCTGGCAGCTGGCAGAAGGCATGTGTAGACACTATCTTGCCTTCCACAGCTGCAGCAGTCCCTTCAGCAGCTGGTTGCTTTTCCACATTGTGGCAGCACAGCTGCTGCAGTGGAGGCGACTGTGCATGCAGTGTGATGTCAGTGTAGGAGTAGCTGCTCTCTGCTGCCAGAATCAGATAAGTGTGGACAAAGCGTCCTAGGTATGGAAAATGAATGGTGAACTGAACCCTGTTGTAGTTTTCAGGGCTGTTTGTCCTGAGTTGTGCATCAAAACAGTTATTTACACAGCAGCTTGAATGGCCTTCCTTTTTCCAGTCTTTGTGAGAAGGTGTTTAGCAGAATTTGCAGATTCCTTGGAATCTGACAGGCCTCACCCTTAGCTTCTGCTATGGCCTCAAACTTGCAACCTCTGGGCTGTCAACCATGCACGCTAGCACTCAGCTTGAATGGCAGTTATTGAATGGAATTAGTCATGAATGTTGGGACAAAGTATTATTTCAGATGCTTCACAGGTACCTAAAGTGGGACAGTGAGGGTATATATGTACAAGATCCCAAAATAAAATTATTTGTTCTGGAGTACACAGTCATCTGTTTTTAGCCTGAATTTAGAGGAACAATTTTCACTCCTTTTTTTCGTATGAGCTGACGTTTACAAAACACAGTTGCATTTATTACAGGACTCAATAGTGTTTTTTAAATGTGAACAAATTAAATTGGCTGAAACTTAGTCTATATTAGAAAGTGCCTTCAGCAGAAGTATGTCAGGTAGGAGTAGAAAAGCTCATACCCTGTAACCAACATAATCTGCAGCTCTCTCAGACTAGCAACAAACTTTCGGTGTACCCCAAGTGTGTTTCTCCTGGGATTTGACATAAAAACAGGCACAGAGTACTGATTTACACATACAATGGCAGTTAACTCAAATTAGACCCCCCCCCCCCCCCCCCACACCCT